TCAGTTATTTCTTTATTTAGGTTATTAAACTTTTTTTATAATTTTCCAATGTGTTCACGTTTTCTTCAAACTGGAGATCTTCTTACTTAGAAACCAATTGGCTAATGTTGACGGGTTATTTTTTGCATAAAACCCTTTGTACCTGATTTAATTAGTGACATCACCTTGTTCATCACTACCAACATTGTTTTGTTTTTTTCTCAGTTTATCACATTGTGGGGTCTCCCATTTCAATATGCTTATTAAATGATTAAAAAAACAGTTCTTTGAAACATCAAGGTCAAAGCCTTCATATTAAGTCTAACCTTTTAACCCAATACCGCAACTGCTCAAGTTATATTCTGCAGTCAAACTTTACTATCCATGCATGTGAATTGCCAGTTTGATGGGTTTTTTCTGTATTATAAGTGAATTACGTAACGCAAAACATCTTAAAACTAAAAAGTAAAATTTTATTTATATACACATGATCCAAAATTAATATTGTAGATCTCTGACAGTTTGATGGCATTAAAGACGACAGTAATTAGTGTTTTTGTTGTTGTTTTTTTTTTTTTTTTTTTGAATAAAGCAATCTATTCTATATATCACTTAGTCCTTAGATATTAACGATTTGGCGTCATTATCAAATTTAGATTTTGATTGTGCCTTTTCCTGTCCTTTTATTTGCATTTTTAAGATGAAATCACCAAAAGTTATATACAGTTGGCAATATGATGTGCAAAATAAGTCTACAATAACCCTCTTGTTCTTGAAATTTACTACAAAAACATTCCTTTTAACCTATTTCAGGAAATTTTCTATAATCAAATGTGCCTTTATTCAAATACTTTTGTGAAAAAGTGATTATTTATTATTTGACTATTTACTCTTACCTGAAATATCAAAATGTGTTATGTACCCCACCCACTCAGTTACATAAAAGATCGGGAAATGTATGTAGAAACTCACCAAAGAAAACGTACATGTTTGAATAAGTTTTCATATTTACATATGAAACATACAAGAAATAAATTAAATGTTTGTTTAAACTTGGATAAACGAAAGAAAAATGCAAGTAAATTATTAAGCATAAACTTGTAAGGTTAAATTGAAACGCTGTGTTCAACTTATAGTGCTTAATTTCTTATATAACTATTAACAATCTTGTATACTCTGTCCAAAAGTTACTGAATTTTGTTATTAATTATAGATTAAAGTATTTCAAGTAGTTTATTTAAAATAATAACAATTTAAATACATAACAGTAATGTAACTTACAATAAATTTGTGATTTTTATTAAATTATTATTTTACCCCACCCACTTAAAAAAATACACATTTTCTCAAAAAATGCAATTGTATAATAAAATCAATTGCACTTTTCATATGCAAAGGATGGTTTCTTGTAATATATACCATAGTAAATCAATTGATTTGTAAATTGCATTATAACATGGAAAAATGTTCGGACATCTTAAAATTTTAGCAAATTTTCATTATTTTTCGCCACAATTTTCATCCTGTATCTGTTAAAAGATATTGTTACATTAAAAATAGAAACTGAATTTCAATATGTGATATGTATTTGATACAAAAATGCATGAAAAGAACAAATGCATCTGTTTTAACTGATTAAAATCAAGTATAAGTAAGTAAGTTGTTATTTCCATATTTTTGGCGGCCATCTTGGACGCCATCTTGGATTTCTCTGTTCGCCACCATTTATGCCAATTTATGCCGGCAGTTTTGTAAACTACGAATATATTGGAACATTTTGGTATATGACACCCCTTGTTAAAAAATGGGTCCGGGTTCAAGTTTCTGAATGGCTTGATTGTCACCCTACCATAAAGGAACATCTAAAGCGACAAAAATATAAAATATTGCAGGTTCGGTTTAATTGCAACTGTTTATTGACAGACATTTTCTAACATAATATATCGACAAATGTCTTCGTTCAAGGTATTCTGTAATCATTTTAATCACAATATAACAATAATAGTACAATCTGCAGACGACAAATACATACCTTTATACACTTTGTCTGTACATATATAACAATGTAAAAAGGAGAATATGATATTATCATATAGCGGGGGGGGGGGGGGAACAAAAATACCCTTAGAAGAAAAAGTTATACTTTTGTTTTAGGTATTAAGGTAATATTTAATTGAATAATTTTTAATCTTTTCATTTAAATATTGTTTTATCAGATCAAGGGACTACACTCGGGTGAATTGTATATTGATTATCCAATACTTCTTTGTCGTTATGATAAATAGAAACGTCGTAAACTTTCAAATGTTCTTTTGTTTTTTATTAGCAGGGATAAACTCTTAGTCGGTACGTTATATATTCAATTATAATTATTTTTCTTATCCTTTTTTCCATATTTAGTTTTTTCTTTAAGCTAATGTCAGTGCTTAATTATAAGCTTAATAAAAACTTACCAGCATGTTATAATATTTTTGGCTCAAACATGGGCATTTTAATATGAAACAAATATGAACTTTGTGATATCAGTTTAATTTTTACGTTTTATATCTGTTTTCGCTAATTAATATAACTTGTCCCTTGTCATTAAGAGTATTTATATTCAGATGAGCGATATTAGAGCTATCATGATCTTCTTGTACATATTTATATGTTATACAATTTTTCTAAAAAAAAAAGATTCAATATCTGGGAGTTTATTTAAAGGTCACGATCTCTTACAAGATTGATGTTTGCTTACAGAGAATGTTATTAAATGATTTGAGATAATGACCTCTAGTAAGAGTGATGTTTGTTTTGCGAAATGATCTGAGCATATTATAAGATAGATTGATAGATAATTTTATTGACGTTAACAGTGCAGTGTTTTTGTCATACATTTGCATATACATATATATCATAATTTTATTATGTGATTTAATAAAACGTGATCACAATTTACATTGTCAACATAGTGTTTTTGGAGGATAAATAAGAGGTTTACATATAAATCAATAGTATACACAAAGTGAAAAAATGACTTTCATAAAATTGGCATAGGTAACAAAACAAAGACTTCCTAAGTATTATAGACTTGTAAATAAATTTGGAAAGAATTCTTATTGTAGCTTGATTGCCACTCTTAAAGAGCTCTGTAAACTTTATAACATTTGGTCTTCTATAGAAATAAACTTTTATATATTGTTTTCTAAAATGTTCGTACAACGGACATGATATAACAAAATGGTATTCATCTTCAATATATCTGTTTTGAAAAAAAAATACAATAACGCTCATTTCCTTCCACTCTGTTTCTAGAATAGCGTCCAGTTTCAATAGCCAGTTTATATGAAGATAATCTAAATTTTGATAAAGCATTTTGAAACTTGATTGGAAATAACTGTAAATATGGTTCAAATCTAAATTCTGTTTTAAATTGCTTATACATAAATAATCTTCCTCGATCCTGCAATCGCTGAAACGAGTTTTGCTTAAAAGTACAATTAACCGAGCTTTAAAAAGTAGATGAAATATACCTATATCAACACAAGATGAGTTGTTCCAAACATGAAAAACCATAGCAATTCAACAGACTTTTAACTTGATATGCCCAGTTATTTTTGATAACATTTCATTTACAAAAATCATCATATAATCTATTTAATAAAATATTTGTAGACGATACAATTTTACACCAATATTTAATTATGCGTACATATCTGTTAATGTAAAGCGGGGAGCGCCCTAATTCACAATACACACCCGTATTTGTACTACAAGATTTAACATTTAATAACATTTTGCAAAACTTCAGATGGATTCGTACAATTTCTTTTGACTCACTGGATCCCCAAATTTCGCAGCCATAAGTAAGAATAGCTGTAACAAAAGCATCAAAAAGTTGGCATATTACACTAGGTTTAAGATTTAATACTTTTATATTATAAATCAAAATATTAAGAGCCATCCAACGTTTCTTGGTTTGATATGAATGTACCTGTATAGTTGAAGACGATCCCGGGGTAATTAAATTTGTTAACTATTTCTATTTTCTTATTATGTGTCCAATGTTCATTTTTCTTTATTGCACCTCTCATCCTAAAAACGACTATTTTTGTTTTGAGGGCATTAACTTATAGGCCCTTTTTGTTTCAGTATGTATTATAATAAATCCAGACTATTTTGAAGGTCGCAAACAGGGTCACTTAAAATAACCATGTCGTTTGCAAAAAGCATTAGAATAAAAGAAATATCATCTCAGGTTAAACCACTGGCATGTCCTATTTGTAAAAAAACTCAAGATCATCAACAAATAATCAAAAAAGGACATAACCTCTCCTTGTTTCTAACCTACAACACACTCAAAATAGTCAGAATATGAGTTACAACCTTTGATACAAACTTTAACTTGTGAATATTCTAAATTATTTCCCATCAATACCTTATTTATGCATTTTAGTCATAGGTCATTTAAATACAGACTATCGAATGCTCCTTTCATATCAACCATACAACAATACAAACGTTTATTTTCATTAAAAAAATTATGTACAACAGCGTTTAATACATATGCTGCATCTACCGTAGAGCGACCCTTGCGAAAACCAAACTTAGCATCGCTTATGATATCATTTTTTTCGGACCAATAATTCAGGCGTTTATTAAAATTCCAGTAAATTTTTTTGATATCCAACTAAAAGTGTGATGCCTATATGATTCCGTACATTGCATGGTTTTAAATCATACATGTTTTTTTATGTTTTCATAAATAGGTCATGCTTAATTGAAAATAAAGTATTTAAGAAAAATAACTGTAACTACATTTCAAGTTTAATACAACTATGTACTTAACCCAGTTTGGTAAATTTTTAAACCTACTTTTGGCAAATGATTAAAATTATGTGGCATAGTTTATTCAAACCAAATCTTAACAAATACAATAAAGTTTTGACAATAAATATGAAGAAACATTTGTCAGTTTAAATAGGCATAAATACACACTGTAATCGACAATCGACATGATAAACCACTCTGAGATACAGTATTCGGTCTACAGGTATTCCTTTGTTTTAGTAATTATCGGTGTATTTGCATCTTTTATAGGGTAAATGGTATGTGAACATGAACCAAAACGCAAAAAAGGAACATCTATAAAATGTCAGAAGGAACAACATTCAACTTTAAGGTAATATTCTTTCAAGAAATATGATACTATTTGTAAACTAATATGCTTATACTATGCATACAGGAAAGTGGGCCATGCTTGTTTACAGGAACGATGCACATTTGTACATTCATCATGTGCAACTTATGTCTAGTCTGTCGTAATGTGTAGTTTAAATTTAATTTGTAATTAACTAGGGTAAAATAAGATAAATTCATAAAAAGCTATTCAGAATTGAAACTATGATTATTTTTCCTTGTTAATTTGCCAAAAGTATTGGGTCAAAACAATACATTTACGAAATAGTGTTGTGTTATAACGTTTAATCAATTACTTCTTATTTGAACATACCAACAGAACCAATAGAAAAATAAGAAATATCTTACAAATTTGCCTTTCTGCTTTACTGATCATAATGTTTACTATTAAATATTCACAAGGCTTGACTTTCTAGTATATATAGGTATTGTTCCTCACACGCATCGCTGATAAAAATGAAGTCGCAAGAGGTTACAACAGAAATATACATAATATCAAAATACATAAAAGAGTTAAATGTTAATATTTAATATGTCAATGAATTCATCATTCAGAAAAGTATGCAGTAACGCATACCGGTATAGAGATACAAATTACAAATATTATATGGTTAAAACACTGCCCTTAAGGATTTAATGATAGATATCTATTTTGTTATTGTGTGACATGCATTGCGGCTGATTTTAAAGAGATTGTCAAAGATGGAACAATACTGATCATGTATTAATATACAAGGCTTTATAATATATTGAATGGATATACCAGTAATCTATACAAAAATATACCTGCTGCGATATTGTCTCCAATATCACCGTGTATATCCAGTAACGCAGGATTGTGCAAATAACGCAAGGAATCGTGCAACATAACGCAGAATTGTGCAATTTAGTGGCTAAAACGATCACCGCGATATGTAAATGGACTAATCTTTTCTATTAAACACCTAATTGGAAGAAATGAGTTAGCGCATACAATTGCTGAGACATAATACTTTAAACCTCATCAAAAACATTTCCATGATAATGTTTATTTTTTCAAGAGCATTCGTGAAAATGACGACCTGACTGGCGTATTGATGGCGATTTTTAGTTTCGTTGATATCTTTAAATACAATAACGTACATATTGCTTTATGATTTTTTATACTCGATGTACCTGAGACATTTTCCAATCTACTCGTGTCATATAACACTAAATTTAGCAGATAAAATAAAAATGAGAACATTTTTAGAAGGTAACGCCGAATTCGTGAATGAAGCACTGAAACAACGGCGTTTATCTCATTAAAAGTTGTTAATCTTCCTTCTATTGTTATACAAATGATGACGTCGCTTACGGTAATTTTATTATGTTTTGCACTGATGAAGGCACATAGCCGAAACGTTTGCAATAAAATTTAATTACTGAATGTTCGTGTTTGTGTGGCTTGTCTGTTTATTCTATTGTTATACGACACTTGTAGTTTGACAAATGTCTTAGGTATACAGAATATGAAAAAAATAAAGTTTTAAATGTGTTAAATGTACATATTTATTTGACGAAACACAAAAGTCACCTTCAAAACGGTAATCAGGTTGTCTTTCTCACGAATGATCTAAAGAAGTAAACATATTCCTGAAAAAAAAATTGTAATGCTGGTTAAAGTATAATGTCGTAGCAGCCGTATGCGCTTATTCATTTCTTTAAATTTTATTTAGAATAAAATATTTTGGTTCGTTTACTTACTGTGTTATTCGATTTGGCAATAGCGTTGCACAGATTCGGCGTTACTTTTACGTTATTTGCACATTCCTGCGATACTGGATATTCACGGTGAAATAAACAGAGAGTAACAAAGTCGTTCATACATAAAGATATCCGTGATATTCATTTTTATAAAACAGTACAGCCGATTGAATAGCCGATAAGAAAGATTTGAAAAATTAGGGACGAACATGTTTGCTCTTTTTATACCAGGCATTAATGTACATATGAAATTATTTACTTATAAAAGTAGCAAAGCGGTTACAAAAGGGTATTTGTTAAAGAATTTGATATTATGTGAAAATATACTGATCCAAATAGCTTTTCATAAAACTCCGACTACGCTTGTTGGTAATTGTAATAAATAAACACTAGAGGAATATAACGTAATAAAACAAAGTTGTTTAGTTAAATAAATGTGAAATCATTTACAAGATGTAGCAAATGTTTAGAATTATTTTATTAGAATTATTCCGTTTATATTTTTTTCAGTACAAAAGATATACCCTTAAACTACTTATCACCTGCGTTATAGGCGAACTTGCTACTCTTTTAATACTTGTTGTATACTGGCGAGGGCAAAGAGAAAGAAGTTTGGCTCTAAGTCAACAGCAAATGTGTTACCCACAACATAAGCTTGAAACGGGTGATGGCAGAAATGTATCTTGTCCTATTGGACTGGCACTTAAAAATGACAAAACAAACAAGACATCAAACTGTTGTGGTGAAATGAGCGTCATTTTCAACTCAGCTTTGAAAAAGGTATTCAGTAATGAATAAGTGGCTATAGAATCTGGAATTTTATTTTTCTGATGTGTAAGACATTGTAGGACTTCTTATCCATATTGATAATTCAGCTTGTTGGTCAAATACAAATATGTCATTCTTTATAATATCCGAAACAATTCAAACGAGTCGATGTGATACAAAAAGTCATATAAACAAAAATTAAATTTTACATATTACTAAGATGTATGCTAGATCTTGACTACTTAATAAGTATTTCGTTTCCATTCATTTTTATTTTGAAAATTCTGGATATGGATTTCGAATCAATGATGGGTATACATTGTATTTCGGTCGGGCGCCAAACATGTGGTTTAGGTCGTTAATTATAGAGTTAATGAATAAGATATTGTAATCAAACTTGTTATAAAGCAAGCTTATGTGAAGAGCTCCCTTAGAATTGCATTTGGGTCACCTAGGGACAAGGTCGCTGTTACAAAAACAGTAAATGAATTTAAAAGTGAAGTGCAGTCTTTGCTTATCAAGCTCTGCATCTCCTAAAATAATATTATTTAAGTTAATTGATCTATTATGGACGTTTTTTTGTACAATATTATTTCATTGATAGTATTTAGTATTATACGAGTATATGACAATTAACCAGGAATGAACAATGTGTGAATGTTGTTAATAAATGTCAGACGGATGATTCTATATAACATGTATCTAATTAACCGTTACGGGACAAAATATGTTTATATCATCATATAAATGTAATAAAACTTCACTTATATCTTGAATAACTTTTTGTGCAGGAATGTTTTGTAAGCATGTCCAAATAAAACATTTTTATCGTTTTAATCAATATTTGAAATAATTATTGAAAAACGTGTCCATTGTAAACCATTCCATATAAGATTTCCTAAACATAATTATTGTTTATGCTCTGTTTGAATTCCAACAAGAGCAAACCTTTGTAGTATGGTAATTATTTAAAACTTCTAATGTTTTGTTTGTTAATGAATATTATGCATTTCGACATATGTTTGTCAAAAGTTTTTTTAGGATATGTCTGTCAAAACATTATGAAAAAGTTTTAAGCTGATTTTAGAATGAATTTAGGAGTGATAAATGTGATGCCTTTATCGTTGTGTCTTTATTATAGTGTTATAGTTGATGCAATGTTATGCATTATAATTTGATATAACAATGGAACCAATATATTCCAGATTACTTCAGAAAGATACGATAGTGACATAAACCCAGGTAAGACAGATTGCGATTAAAATTTCTTTGATTTGTTTGCATTTTAACTTCGGTTTGTATAAATATGTAATAAACTCTCATCTAAAGCCTTGACTTTAAAGATAAAATTTGATACACACATGGAAAATATTATCGAAACGTTTAATATTCCTAAGTTTGCAGTCAATTAGTAATAGATCGGTAAATGTCGAGCACCATCACGATACTATCAAGTAACGCAAATACAGATAAATGAATGTGGTGTATGACTTATAATGAGACAAAAAAATGAGAAACACAAATATTTACTACATTTCAAAAGGACTCTACTGAGGTTTGTTGACGTAACGAGACTGAAAATATATTCCAAGATTTGTGTACCAATTGCTGAAGGTCTGGGCCAATTATTTGTGCACACATTTTCAATGCTTTCTAAGAATTGCATAACAATCTATTTGGATGAAATCATCTTGTACAATTATTATAAATGTCTAGAGAATTATCTATTTGTTAAAATGTTTAAAATTGTTTTAATGCCTCAATTATTATTACAGAAATGATTTTCTTCGACCTGAAACAATTTAGTTGTGTGGCGATACAAAAGCAAATACCAACACTAAGCTTGACTTGGGCAGCGGAAAAGAACTCAGGTATTGCTTTGTTCACATATTTAACAATACTCATTTCTAATTTTTGAAACAATTATATTAACATCAGTGACACTTTGGATACATCCTTTTTAATCTAATTTTATGTTTTTGAACAAATTGTCTTAAATCAGTTTAAAGAGTATAAAGCTATAAGTGTATGAGTTTCCTGTAGCTTGAATTTCTATAGTTTGATTTATTTTATTTTTTATTGTTCGACTATAAGAACAAGAATGCTTACAAAATATCTATATGAAAGATATATGTTTGCATATTTGCATGTATCATTTACTTATGAAAGCTGAAATGATATTGTTTCTTGAAATAACATCATAATAATTTGTCCTTGGAATTTTCATTCTGTTAACGTACAATACTCGTAAATATTAAAGATATTTATGCTCAAATGTAATATTTGAAATTACAGATAATTATAATATAGTATCCTTCTAAATGTAAAATAAACATCTCTTGAGTACACACAGAGAAGATATGTCATGTTTCAAAATCTACCAAATATAGTTGAAGACTACAATTATTATGAATAAATTGTGTCAATAAAAAGCTGCATTTTTAATAAAGGACCAAATAACTTGAACAATAATAAGAAATGCAGCTTCCCAAAACATAATTTTGTATATTATTTTATTCAAATGTGACATTCAGTAAGATTTCCAAGATCTCAATAAATTTATACAATAAAAGTTTTTCTTCAAATATGAGCATAGTATATCTTTATATAACAGAGACATTCTAAGATGCAACTCTTATACGAACCAACCGTATGGTTATTGAAGCAACATACTTTTACTTTTTATAAATTTTGAAATAATATTTCATTGGATACAGATTTAGACCCATTAAAATACATTTGTGTTACTGAATCTAATCTATAATTAAATTATGTGATTATAAAGACCTCTCCTGAATTTACCTTTCAAAGTTCCTGTACACAACCACTTCAAGGTTTCTTGGAAGCGTCATCCATCGTCAGTTCAAATCTCTGCACTAAGTTTTTTGGAAATTGAAGACACAGTGTTGGTCGAGGAAACAGGTTTTTACTACATATTGTCCCAGCTGACATTAAAAGTTGACAAGACTTTTGCTGATGGCGTTGGCCATTCTGTACATGCATTATCGGATAACAGTTCGACATCTGTTCTGCTTGAAGACACGATGCTACCATGTCAAATGGCATCAGATTCTTTGTCTGCGAAGACAAGTGTTATCGGGGCGGTGTTTAAGCTCAATCAAGGAGATCGGATGTATGTAGCTACGTCACATCCTAATATTATAAAGCAAGGTTTAAAAAGCAATTATTTCAGCATGTACAAAGTGTAAATATTTTCACAAAATTGTGTAGACTTATAATCTTAACGTTTTATACTTAAATAGGAAACTCAAACTTATCTATCGATGTGATTGGTATACACTCTTTTAAATTACCTTTGTTTTTGTTTATCTTAGATGTGTTTTTAACATTTTAACATAACTGTAAAAAAGACACCTGCAATTTTTACATATAAAACATATTTTTAAACCGTAATTTCATTATTCAAAATGAAAATTCCTTTCATCTAAAGTATTTAATTTCTAAAGTAGAAACAATTTAAATACTATACTGATATATTTAATAACGTTATTTATGATCTACGGCAGACGTACGTGTCTTCATTCTCTTCGAACATAATGCACACATAGGTCAAGGTCACACTTAGAGGTCATTGAAAAAAGCGGAGTAAAACTTCTACATGCATAGAGGGATTTCAACATAACTTAGCACAAATATTTACCATTGTAAGGCGGAGTGTCGCGTGAAAAATTTAGGTCCCTGTGGCTATGGTCAAGGTCACACATTGGGGCCAAAGTTCAGATAAAAATATGAAAATGTGTATTTTGACCATTTAGTCACTTTTATTGAGGAATGGAAACACGAATTGTCATAATCATGATTACTGGTGTAAAACATGTTATTTATGTTAATATTCGCAAAGTCAAGGTCACTAAAGATGATAAAATATGGAGATTTTGTTCAGAGCATATCTCGAATTCAAATGAAACTTCATATAAATGGTCACCACTAGGAGAAGCAGTGTAATGCGCCTAAACTAGGTATCCAGGTCAAAGGTCAATGTCACACTTAGCGGTCATTGAAAAACACTTGGCCGCATGTATAGAGGGATTTCAATATAACTTGGCACAAATGTTCACCATTGTAAGGCGGAGTGTCGCTTGCAAAATTTAGGTCCCTGTGGCTAAGGTCAATGTCACACATAGTGGTCAAATTTCAGATAATAATATGAAAATGTGTATTTGGACGATTAAGTTGTTATTTATTGAGGAATGGAAACACAAATGGTCATAATCATGATTACTTGTGTAAAACATGTTATTTATGTTAATATTCGCAAGGTCAAGCTCACTAAAGATGATAAAATATAGAGATTTTGTCCTGAGCATATCTCGGATTCTAATGAAACTTCATATAAATGTTAACCACTATGAGAAGCAGTGTAATGCGCATAAACTAGGTCTCCAGGTCAAAGGTCAATGTCAAACTTGGCAGTCATTGAAAAACACTTGGCTGGAGAAAAACTTCTACATGCATAGAGGGATTTCAATATAACTTGGCACAAATGTTCAAAATTGTGAGACAGAGTGTCGCGTGCAAAATATAGGTCCCTGCCCGCCAAGGTCAAGGTCACACATAGATGTCAAAGTTCAGATAAAGATATGAAATGTGTATTTGGACCATTTAGTCATCATTTATTGAGAAACTGAAAAACAAATGGTCATTTTCATGACTTCTGATGGGAAACATGTGACTTATGTACAGACTCAATCAAACCGAGTCTGCAATTCTCTTGTAATTTTGTTGTGATTAATGCTTCCGAGGGATCACTTTGTTTCCAGATTTTTAGGTTAATAAATGCAAGGTTAAGTTCACTAAAGATGATAGTCAAGGTCGCTAAAGATGATAAAAATAGAGGTTATGTCCAGAGCATATCTACTATACATATATAGGGATTCTAATGAAGTTTCATACAAATGTTTACAATTATGAGAAGCATTGTCATGCACATTAACTAGGTCTTAAGGTCAAAGGTCAAGATCACACTTAGATGTCATTAAAAAACACTTGTCCGGAGCAAAACTTCTACATGCATAGAGGGATTTCAATATAGCATAGCACAAATGTTCATTATTGTAAGCCAGAGTGTCACATGCAATAGTTAGGTCCCTGCGGCCAAAGTCAAGGTCACACATAGGGGTCAAATTTTAGATAAAAATATGAAAATGTGTAATCGGACCATTTAGTTATCATTTATAGAAGGATTAAAACACAAATGGTCTTTACTGGTGTGAAACATATAATTTAGGTTAATATGTGCAAGGTCAAGGTCACTGAAGGTGATAAAATATAGAAATTTTGTCCAGAGCATATCTCCTGCACGCATGGTGTCACATGCATGGACCAGGTCTCTAGGTTAAAGGTTAAGGTCATTGAAAATTGCTTATTCGGAGCCGAACTTTCTTCATTAATTAGGGGATTTTAATGTATCTTGGCACAAATATTCACCATTGTGAGGCTTATTCCGCACAAAATCCAGGTCCCTGCTACCAAAGTCAAGGTCAGATAGAGAGGTCAACGTTGTGTGTACGGGGACCATTTAGTTATCATTTATTGCTGGATTGTAACACAAATGACAACTATCATGACTACAACTGTGACACATATATTTAGGTTAATATTAGCAAGGTCAAGGACACTAGAGAAGATTAAATATCCAGACTTTTTCATATATCTCTCCTATATGCATATCTATCATGCCAGCATCTTTGTCAAAAGCTTTTGTGGGCGTATTTTGCGACAATGTTGCTCTTGTTCTTTGATGTGTTCTTGTTCAAAATATAGGTTTAATAAAGATACAAAATTCAAAATCAAAGGTAAAGTTATCATGGAATATAATGAGCAAAAATGAAATTTGGCATTCGGTATTTTTATGATGCTGGTTTTAAGGCATTAACACGGCCAAATTAATGCGTCGTCATTGCTCAACAAGGACACGTCTATGGTGTAAAGACTTGTTAACGAACATAACGACCAAGCTTTTCCAAAATGTGTGCGATCAGATTGAGGCCGGCGCTACGCTTTGTTCTGAACATCCGGCTTTTCTCAGGAAATTCTGACTGTAATCCAGCGTCGCTTCGCTAGAATGTTAGAACATGACAATGTCTCTGCATGAACCTAAGCAGAACAGGTTGCAAAAAAGTTAATCCCTGCATTTAGCAAAAGTTAAGTTTACCTTAAAAAACAACAAGACGGGAACGTTTTTGTGTACATAAACAGTCTAGTAAAACGAACATGTTTTACATGCCACTCAAGAATTTGCTTAGATATTCCTTTGAAATGTATAAGAATATAAGTTTCCTGCATAGCTGTAGTTTGATTTTCTAAAGAAGGACGTTTGTTGAAAATCTCCTCAAGAACTCAATCTTTCATGCATGTCGTTACAAATACTTTTTTCCCGACTCTTGTAGTCTGTGTATATAAAACATTATGGTGTGTGATATAACAGCGAATTCAAGCTTACAACTTTCACAAATCGACCAAAGGATAATTGAAGCGACATATTTTTAATGTTTTAAAATGTTATACGTAAACTAAGTTTAACACCCTTTAGTGTAAGCGTTTAAAGTTACTTTTTATATTACAGGATTGCCTTTAAAACACATTTATATCTATTGATCAGTCTAGTTAATCGACAGTTTATCATTATAATTTCAAATTCTGTCCTTAACCAATTCACGTTTGCAAATGGTTAATTATATACTTAATAGTGTTATTATATTTAAGATGAAAACGTGGATCAATTTAGATATTGCATGCTTACGAATACCGATGAATGTGCCTTCTTTTAAATGATATTGAAATTAATCAGTTTTTGTGCTATTGTAGACATTCTTTTCAACTTGCAAATTAGACTTGGTACATTGGTATGATTCATAATTATACGATACTAAATTGAGAAATCAATATGGAATTGAGCAGACGAAAATATTTGAAAGATAAATAAATATCGTTTGAATATAAATATATTATTCAAACAGAATAATCGAAACGAATTATGATAACAAAAGAAATGAATTATTTAAGAAATTACCCAGCAACGCGAATACAAACATTTAAATATATAATGCTTATGTCGTCATGTCATATAAGGTGACGGAAATTGGATTAATATAGTTTCATTTTGTGCTGCTTAAAATATTTATTTATTTCGCAAGTGCAAATTGATTTATAAAAATCATTAGAAAAATGCTGCTGTCATGGTTCGTATTGGATATAGAGAAATATTTTAAAAGGAAACAAGATCAATAGTAATGTTTAAAACTGAAAGATATGTGATCATTAATTGAAAAACGATGTTAATATGCAATATTGCAGCGACAATATTTAAACCGTCTAACAATTGGTTTGAAGAAGGAGACATTGAAACCTAGCCTCGATTTTCTTGGTATTTATCCAATAGTTAGTCAAACCATTTTTAGAATTGTGAAATGCGTTCATTTGATGAATGGATAAGATATATAAAAAAATTTATATAAAAATTCAGACGCAACATTTAGTTTGGTAAAAGACGGATATGGCATCGATGAAAAGTACTTCGAAAAACATTTCATAGCAGCGTGATGCTTCTGTGACTTGTAAATATCATTATGAAGGATTTTGCCTGGAGCAAATGGCGATCTTTCCTGCTTGATTTAATCGTTTCTTTGAATGACTGAAATAATCTGCAAATGGTTAGTGCTCGTAGTATTAAAAATGTTGCACATTCATGTATTTTTATCAACATTTTTATTTTCAACGCAAAATCAGGATTTCATTTTATAATTGTATTTATTTCACCTAATTAAATCTAAAGAAATATCAATATGAAAACAACGGATATCAAGTGCTGATAATAAATGTAATGTTTTTTATTTCAGTATTAAGATATTTATCATGTTTAATCTAGGTGAACTGAATTTCGAGCACCTCACGACATATACTTTTTTATTATCTGTCACGAACAACATCAATTTAATGTTGTCAAAACTGTTATTATCACTCAATATTCGTGAGAGATTTTTTCTTTTGGTGACATGAATACACATTTTCGTAGTTTAAATACTTCCTATTTTGTTTTGACATGTGATTCTATGGATTTCGGATCTCTAAAATAACATTCTTACTGGTAAAATAAATATATAATTACGATATAAGAAATGCGTCTTGTCTGTATATTTAACACAAACACACCCGACGGAATGGGCCTAAATGTCATCACCGTATAGCAATAACAATAATTATTATTATTTGATCTAAATATAGCTGAAATCTCATTGGTTCAAACAGAACTCCACAGGACTTTTTATAAAATCATATTCACTGGGTGAAGTGTCATATTTACTTGCTGACTTGGATTTTTCTAGTCTAAAAATAGATTGGGACTCATACCATATATCGTATACTGTTTGTTACCCGTGATTTTTATATAATAATTGTTGCGTTTTGTTCTTTACTGCAAATTTCTCGATTAGAATATCATCACTTTACTATTATAGTTAAAATTACAACGCAATGATGAGTATAAACTTGAATTACTTTTGTATGCACAGCGTTCGCGTAGTAGTTGCACGCCTGACAGGTTCGTCTTTCTTCCCGCTCTTCAACAAACAGTCGAAAGTTGTACATGCATAAGGTTGTACTTTCTGTGAGTTTTGAAAAATTCTTATAGCCTATTCATATGTCAAACAATTGTTGATTAGTGTGTCATTTTAAATATTAGAATCTTAATTGTTTTTCTATATAAATTTAAAAAATGATACATTCTTTATTGTTGTTGTTGTTTTTGTTGTTGTTGTTTTGACCCCATTGTAGACCAATTTATTAGTAAAATCCAATACAAACTCATAATAATACGTCAAAATAAATTTTTTATAGTCCAACATTATCAAGTTGAAAAAGTATCATTTGTATATTCTTACCAAATATTTTATGCAATAAATAAACTGATTTAGTTTAACCCACTGTTTTAAGTATTTAGCAGGTTCCCTAATATATAAATATACATATATATAATAATATTGTGTTTACAATTAAATTTCTGCTAAATATGAAAATGCAATATTGGATCATGTATCACACTCTTACCAACAACATCCATATAATGAATTCTTCTTTCGTGGTTTGTTGCCAGGAATGATACGTAATACTATCAACATAAATATTTATGGTATTGCATACGTTATATTGTGAACAAATTTAGATTTCACGATATGCAATAACATATAAAACGACAGGATTTCTAAAACAATTATTTAAATCAAAAAGAAAAAAAAAGGAAAAGAAAATCTTCCTTAACATGAAATAATAAGTATTACATGAATTATGAATCATGATCTTAAAAAAGCTTAGTCATAAAACAATATGCTTTTAAAGATCCTGTATGTTGTACTTAAGGTTGTAACCACACTTAAGTGAAATTCAATATAAGTATATAATTATGATTCTAAAACAATTTTCAAACATTGAAGAATATGTGAAATATGTACTGCAAAAATTGTCCACATTATATGTAATCATTTAAGTATATGCATTTATTAATTATTGAAAAAATTGACTTAGACTTTATGGACAATAAATTTCTAATTACCTCCCTGTATTTACATGCAATGTATATTCGATAATTTCTTGACAAATAATGCTTTTTGGAACTAACAATATTGATTACTTTTCATTATATTTACGATATAAAACCATGAAAATTTGAGTTAAAGGATCTTTAATTAAGCAGGTTATTCAATGGGAATTACCCTTCCTATTGTATCTGTCATTTATATATCGTTTAACGAATGTCTAACAGCACCTGAAAGTCGTTTTTCATTACGTTTAAATTATTATAAGTTTTGTGAACAGTTATATCGGCATATGAACCTAATAAGTTGATATAAAGCCAACATTTTCCGCATTTTTATTTCTTTCTATTACGTAATTTTTGGCTTTTGAATAGGCTGCATACAATTTCGTTCATTTTTGCATCACGTATATGTAACAAATACAGTTCAAATATCTTTTTCTCAGTGTAAATATGTTTTCATAATAGTCAAAAACCGAGCACTGTGACAAAAAACATATCATACATTTGTGAAGAAGATATATGGGTATTTTCATTGTGTGTTAAATATTTACAAATGAATTTTTTCTTATGATTTATATTAAAATCACAACTATTTTACATAAGTGTCATTTACATTTTTCATCTAAACATATTTTACAGATAATATGTATTTTCAAGTTGGTGTTGAAAAATTATAAATTTATCAAAATTGAATGTTTGTATAAAAGTTCTAAAGAAAACTTTAACAATTATTATAACAAAATCTATACATTTAGTATTTTACATTTTGCTCTAATATTTATGTTTTGCATCGTTCAAACAAATATGGTTCATAATTCTAGTTCAAGTACCTTTTTTATATTACAGAATGATTATGGTCAAAATAGATGTTAAACACCTGTTTTAAATCAATCGTTATCCAACTCGGCGTAATATTGTGAAGCGCTTTTATACATGGCGAATTGTTCCATTTCCTTTGAGTTCCGTTGTAACTGCTATATTAGATGCTTTTATATCAATGTTACCGGTAAACAATCATGTTACATGACACAAAGGGTATTTTGTTTTATGTATTCGAAAATACTTTATTGTAATATATATGTAAAACAAAACTGTGGCAAGCTCACCTCATTTTATTATCAGTTCATTAACCCTTTACCCCATATATACGCGAAACAACGCACTTTCGAACCCCCCCCTTTTTTAGGCCTCAACTGGTAAAAAAATGTCCTATTTGGGCCCCAAACACATGTTTTCGTTTGAGAAATGTTGCTAAAAAAAATGAGCACTTTTTCGGCGCCGCCCCCCATCCAAAAGACACATCAGGGGGTTGCCAAAAGGGGATGTGCCCCCTTCTGTTAGGGGGGTTTGAAGGGGGGCGGAGTCCCCCTTATCGCCAAGAAAATTTTGGACTTGTGAGAGGCTAAAAATGACCCCAGGTCGATCATAATGTAACGTGTAACCAACGTTGAAAAGCCTTTGACTCTATCTCAATCACTTGAGAAGTTGCAGCACTTTGAAATAAATTTTGATGGAAAAAATCGAGGCAAAATAGTGATTTTGGCAATTTTGAGATGTCCCCTCGTTGCCATGGTAACAGGAAATTTAAGACTGAGCATGTCGTTACAAAGGCAATGGTCCAGTCAACATTTGTGCCAAGTTTGATTAGTATTGTAGCATTTTTCATAGTTTCATAGCAGTTTGAACTTGTAACAGGAGGCTTTTCAGTGAAAACGGCCATTTTTCACAATATGCTCATGGGGGAAAGGGTTAAACTCCATTCCCCGTTATAATACCAAAATTAATATGCTGAAATTCCATGCGACATATTTTATTCTATTGTTGCTTATACCAAATGATTAAAATCTTCTCCGAGTTACGCCCGTTATTTACGAAATTTACGAAAAATGCAGTATATTTACTCTTTACGCAAATCAAACTATTTTCTGGATATTATTGTATAATTACTCTTTGCAAAATGACTCAAAATAAAACATCAAAAGATCATGTAAAAAAATATATAAAAAAAATGAAGGTATCGGTGGGCTTGATTTCGATTGTGATCTTTGTGACTAATTTTTTTATTTTTTTCCAATCACGATCTCTTTATGAAGAAATATAAAAACGCCATATTTAAAAAAAAACTATTTATAAACATCAACAAGACTTTCCATTCACAGTGGCAGCTGCTCATTCTTAAATGAATTCATTTAATATAAGTTATAATTATTTTATCACATAAACCGCGGCGTACGAATGCTATAAAGGCATTTAATAAAAACGATATTACACTAGTATAATAACATTTTGACGTGCCGTCATAGCGTTATATACAAACATATCGCATAAGGGCGCTAATGTAAGCGTTACACTATAATCGCGTCGTTGAAAAATTACTCATTTTAACAGTTAACTGTTCTTTTTTTATGTATGTGATCAAAAGAATATTATATTCGTAAAGATTCAATACTAAATTTATTGAACTCGTTGAATAAAACAATATTTTGCTCGCCAGAGGCTCGCATAATATGATTTTATTCAACTCGTTCAATAAATTTAGTATTAACTACACTCATTTAATATCCTCAATATAATATTATAATACCAAGGGTTGAAGTATTATGTAAATAAAGTAATTAACTTATTTATGTCTTCATAAGTTACTTTTGACATATTTACATGCTTGATGAAAATGAGCCATGTTAAATGTGTAATATTTTCATTTTTTAAGGTATAACCATTTGAAAGCATTAACCGTATCAATTATTATATTTTATTTTTTTTGCTGTTAAACGATAACATATGACTCATAGAAACATGAAAAATGTAAGACAAAAAAACTTAACCTCGTTATTCTTATGAATTAAAAAAAAGTTCCTTTATTTGCGTGCAAGTGACCATAAATTAAACTAATTCAATCATTTATCTACGTTGATTTATATGCCATCAACCGATACTTACTAATATGCACTATGTCAAAACATTATTGTTCCATTTAGTTGAAATAATAAAAACCCGACACTCTTTTATATTTGTATACTTAGTATATACCTATTTTATGTCAAGGGGTTTTTGTTTTCTTTTAAAAGTTATTCTTGTTTTGGCTTTGGCTCAATTCGATCGAAAGAGAAACAAGTCTGACAAATTAATATGAAATAATCATTATAAGTATATACGCTTTGAAATAAAAATTTTTTTTTCGAAAATAGCAACTGTTGTTGCAACGGTTGTCACTACATTAGGTCATGTGATAGAACATGCTGTTTAAAATTGTTTATTTTATCTTACTGAAGTGGCCGATGGTGTCGGAAAATCTCTGAGATGATAAACGTGTTTTGTTGGATTCTATTTAGAAACCTACATATTTCGGACTTAATATAGATAATTTATATAAACGTTAAACGCAGGAGTTAACCAATTCTACAATTGTGACTTTTTAATGTTTTTGAATAATTATTTAGACGATATTTTTCATTTTGATATTTACGGGGTAATTTCATACTTGCGAAGACAATACATACTTCTTCATGAAGGTAACAACTTTTAAGACGTAAATATTTTGATTCATTTTGCTACTTGCGGAAAAAACCTAATAATTAAGTTGTCTGAGGAAGCGTCGGTTCGATGGTATACTGCAGTCGCATATATTGTGATATGACAACAGCACTAGTTGGTTCCTTCAGACTAGTGATTGATTTGTACAAATATAATTAAATGATTGGTAACCTTTCACTGGTATTACAGTGCACTAATAAGGAGGACATCTTGTAGTAGTTCTTGGATTCTTGTCTGGGCAGGAAAGGCCATTTCTTAAAATTCAAATGACCAGTTACGTTAAAAGAACAACTACTTGTCACTCTATATACCTAATCTTCATATTTTTCTCTCATAAATAACATAATGTAAATTTATCTAAATGGTATGATCTTTAGTGTTTGTTCCTTCCAGTGTGTTTTAACGGTCACATTAAAAATCATTGAATGTCTTATTTGTGTCTGTTATTTGCAAAAAAAAAATAATTAATTCGTATTTTTGCACCGACTTCGGTGCCCTTTCTTGTCTCCGTTTTTTTTCTTTTGTTTCCACATCGTTGTCCCACTATGTTTCCGGTGGCAAAATATTTATGGATGTTTTCAGGGATGTGTTTCGCTAACCTTGCTCTTTTTATTATACAAACATTATGACATTCTTGCATAGAAACAAGGCACCCAAAAATTTACGGCAAAAAAGCATGCATTTACGGAAAAAGTCACGTGAGCACGCACCGCTGCTGCACCATTTTAGTATGCGCGACTCAAGTCGCCATGTAAAAAAAGCTTACGGCAATGACAGACCCGTTGCCTTCAAACTGTTAATTTACATTGAACTAGCACTAAAAGAGTTACAAAGTAGTTTCTTTACACAAAAAGTAGTTAACAAAACGCGGAATGTACGGAATTAGATGTATTCAGAACGACCCCGGTTATCCGACAACACTTTATTCGAATACCCGGCATTATCCGAAGTAGATCGGCGTTCCCGTTTTTATTACTGACTATATAAATCAATACGAGCGTATTATTCAAATGCATTATTCGAATACATCCTATTTTTGGAAGTAAAATAATGGTCCCAATTATACAATTATGAAAGAATTTTACAACTATTAATCGAAGCCAGACTAATTGGCGCAGATCCACTCGTTGACCGGTCGACTTGTGAAAAAATATCAACAGTCATGCGTGTATTTAGACAATCATGATAATTACGCTTTGTGTGTTACATGATTTAATTAACTTTAATTACCGAAAATGAAAAGCTATTCACCGTGTCCGATGTTGTTACTGTTATTGCTTGACGATGACAGCGATAATTTTCAAACATACCGTATATGAACATCCAAAAATTGTTTTCATTAATTGTTACGCTACATGAGAGCCTTTACCCTAATCGAAAATTCCGTAGTGACAACACGGCAATTATCAGGCTTTAGGGATTCTCATTTTCTCTATTTTTGCACGAAACGAAAAGATACATAATGTAGAATAAAATGCAAGTATTTATCTCTTCAATGCCAATAAAATAATTTTTACTCATCTTTTCTTTAACATTTATTTTTCTCAATTGATTGCAGGAAGTATATGTGTCACGAAAGTTTTGCTATGATTGGTCAAAGTGAAGTAGTTTTCGTCTATCACAATTTTCCGATTTCGATTATTCGAACCCATCGATTATTCGAAGTAAATTTTCAGTCCCAGGCACTTCGAATAAACGGGGTTGGACTGTAGTATATTCATATGCAAGAATAGAACTATTGCAGCTTTTTCGTGCAAATTATCTGCAGAAGCCCTAGGACTTATAAAGTGTCCAATACATCACCGTTTCCATTATGATTGAACGTTTCATGAACCTGTGGTCGTTTTTCTTTAAAATTGATATATTTTGTATAAATTTTACCTGGAGTTGGAGAAAATATTTTATTCAGTAGGTTGTTTACATTAAGATTAAATATAAATTACTTTTGCAGACAATAAAAATTACCCTTACCGCATTGATCGCCTTAGTTATTGTCAAAACGGGTGTCCTTTTGGCTTTGGTTCAGTATTGGCGCCTTTTAAGACAACACAAGGTCGAATCAGAATGGTGCTCTCCCTTAGACGTAACAAGTCAAGGAAACCTAGACCTTCTTGGACAGCTTATAGTAAAGACTGACAAAAATACAAATCGAAACAAAGCATGTGGCAAACTGAGTACCATGTTGACAACAGTTGTTAATCAGGTAATGGTTCAGATTATTCTATTACTTCTCTCATCATATTAGTTTGATTTTAACAATAATTTAAAAGCAACATTTTCGTTTTGGTTCTTCTTTTTCTGTTGATGTGACTGTAGGGTATCTACTAGCAAAAGTAAATGTTATTTTGAATATGACAATTATGTATCGTTTATATTTCATGGAAACAATACAATGCAATACAATACAACTACATACCTAAAGGTTAAACATTGCACATATAAGTTTGATATAAATGCTTTAAACAGAAAGTTAGGTCACAATGTTATGATCATATAAGTCAAAAGTATTGCTATTAATATCTAAAAGGGCCTTGTTTCTATGAGTTTTTTATATTCAATATTTCAGAATATACATGACAGCTACGACAGTGACGCTTGTCCAGGTATTTTTTTCATCTATTAAAACCATCAAGCAATCTTTCTTTTCTCTTTCTTTCTTTTTTCTTCCTATTGTATTATTTGTTTTCCTTTCTTCTTTTTTCGTTATTATAATTTCTAATTCTTATCCCGATGATTACTTATAAATATAACGTTTACTTCGTCACAAATATTTACATTCCACTTTTTTGACAATTGTACAAAATATTATATAATCGACTCATTATAAAGTTACACTAAAAGGAGAAGAATTTTATAAGACTTAGTCTTTCGTTCTCATCCTTTTCTTTGAATATATAATATATTTGTATTCTGATTGTATTGTATGATGTATATCATGTAAATATTCGGGAAATAAATATGTTTAAACTAAAACCATCAGAACTTCAGCAAAGGTCGCCTGTTAATTAAAAGCTATAATAATTAACATTCTCCTTTCATCAACGTATATCATATATAAATAAATACCAATTTGCACCCGTTACCAACGTCAGCCGCCTAAGGCAAGCTTTATATGAAGCAAACAATGGTATTATTTTAAACTTTCAGGCATGTATCTGAGCTTTTATTGCAGAAATGTGATATATAATGCATTCAACATAGAAAAATAACTTTATGGTGTTTGTGATTTATTCTATTTCAATTTATGTTGTTAGTATTTTTACTTGAATACTATATAGTCACCCTTAGAATTTGGTGCCTCCATCTTGTCTGTGATATGCAGGCTTTATTGCATCTGATTCCCTTTCGAAATCCTTTTGTTTAGTTTTTCCCATTGTGTCATTGTTAAGGGCACATGCTTTCTTTAACCTTGGGACCATACACACATGTTCTTTGAATGACACGAACGTATAACAATGAAGGTTTTATGATGACCACCGTATGAATACATCTGTGGATATTTCTAAACTAAAAACTTCACAATTTCTAACTTCTAAAAGTAGCGTCCATGAACAGCCAAATCAAACCGAGCTTGCAACATTTTTAATTTTGTCATTTTTGTGCGTTCTTTAGAGTCCGTTTTTCTGTATTTTATGAATCAATATATTGAAAGGTAGCGTATATGTCCATCAGAGAAACATTTATATTCCAGAGCCAGAGATTCTTGATTTAGGTATCAAAGCATTCAACTGTACAGCTTCAAAGAAAGCTGAATCTACGTTACACCTTAATAACGTACTATCACATGCAAAACCAGGTATGTTTAAAATATTTGAAATTAATTAAACCGCTTTATGCATGTGCTTTACTTAATACTTATTATCCTTTTTCATATCGATATTGTAAATGGTAATGGAATGGAATTTAACAATTCTTTATATAACAAGAAGTTTCAAAAAAAGAGGTTCAATCGGTTTTGAAAATCCATAGTATTCAATAACATTTTTCTTTGAACACCGTGTTATAATTAAATGGAAGAATTTCCTGAAATTACATATTCTGATACGAAACAGTATGATCCGGCAATTTCAGTGTGTATTTTAGAATAGTCTCGAAAATATCAAGTTTTATTGTTAAATGATTTATTAACCAATTTCTAATTGTATTGTTTAGGCCTGATGGAAATTAATTTCAATAAACAAATTATACCTGAAAATTTGAGTATAAGACTTACCAATACCTCTGTATTGACCAAAACGTCTGGAAGAAGGATGATCCCTCGGGAAACAACAAAATTACATGCAAATCGATTTGAGTCTGTACATGACAATTGCAGACTCGATTTGACTGAGACTGTATATGAGGGATAATGACAAATTGCAACATCCCTCGCGTCTCTAGCGTCGGATTGTGTGGTACTCAATTTTCAATACATAAAAGGGCTGGAACCAATGATCTCAAAGGAAACACTCCCAAAAATACAAATGTAAAATAATAATCTGTTAATATCGACAATTATTACTCATAATATTATTTTCAGTACCTGGGAAACGAACTAAAGTATACTGGAGCCCTATTACATATATGATTACACATCATATGAAATACATCCAGGAGGAAGGAGTAATCTACATCAAACAATCTGGCTATTACTTTGTGTCGTCTTTGCTGACAGTCAGAGCAAACAACATGACATCGACTGATACCGTTACAGGTTCAGAGGATGCAATCAGTCACGTTGTTAACGTAATACACCAAGAATCTGGGACTGAACGAGTTCTTCTTGAAAACGTAAAAACCACGTGTGTCTTATCATTCGGTCATGCAGAAAGGTCAAGTATTTTAGGAGCTCCTTTTTACTTAAATCAGCAGGACAAAGTATACGTGGCCACATCACATCCGTATAACATTATCAGTGGTCACAGTAATAGTTATCTAAGCATTCATACCATTTTGTAAGACAACAGCAACAATAACATAACAAATAAACAATAAAAAAGACAAACAAACAAAAGTGTACTTTAATTTGTTGTTGATAAACTCTGGGTAAAGAATGATTCCATCAGGATATTATTGTTTTAAATTCTAATTATTTTTGTTGTCTTTTAATAGTATATATGTGATATTCAAGCTTCATAAACTTTATTCCCATTCAAAATTTCATTTTATTTAGTTTGTCCAATCGTTTTCTCCTTCAGAGCACACACACTTTTATACCTAGGTAGCATATGCCGCTTTTCATGGAATGACAATAACATGATACATTGAACGTTCCATGATAACTGCCGTATGAACATATTTGCGTATGTTTCAAAATTAAAATGTTACCAAATCATTGTGCTTATGCCGAGACTAAAGGTCGTAGACGGTAGCTTGCAATAAGCAGTACCGTCCATGTACCAAGAGCCTTCCACATTTTTAATTTCGCCGTGTTTTGCTTTTTTTAGGAATTCTGTTTATTTCTATTTTATTACCATTTGTTTTCATTCTTGTCAATTTGTATAAGTTCAGTCATTGTTATTGTGTTAAATGTTACTCAGAATACATTTCTTATGAAATGGATATGTTCAACACATACAACAGCATCTTATTTTTATAGTATTACAGCATCTGTGTAACAACGTCATGCAAATAATTGGATGCATGAAAAAATGTTGATATTTACATTTCTACCAATTCAAAGTTAAAGTTTCATAACTATTTTGTAAGACATGGCTTATTTACAAAATTTCTATTTATGATTGAACATACCACCGTGACGATGAATTATATAGACTCATATCATGTAACATTAGCTTCGTTTACTGTTGACGTGGTCTTGAATAAAAGAGATTTCTGAATTTCAAATGGTCTTTGACAATCTTGTAGACATGGATATCGTTTGATTGTTATTACATTCCTATCGATATATGCATTAGGAATTCGTATTTATGTAAAGTTATGTTAACTTAAAATAAAATATAAGGCAGGAATAAAACATTACCAGAGAAAGTGCTCTATAAATGTAGCAACTTGTTAAATTTTATTTTCCTGTCTCAAATCCATTTTATAATCCAATATAACTTCTGTCATTTTAGTACAAAAAGACATTGAGTGATAGATTTTTGAACCTAAATAGTGACTTAAATATATTGACCCTTTTACACTGCAAATTTGATATTGTCGCTGTTACTGAAACTATATTGTGATTTGTTTTCAATGTTTTACTAATTTGATATTTTATGTATGATATAAGATAAATTTTCGGATAAATCAGACAAGATATGTAAATCATGTAAACGCTATAAATGAAGCATAATTATTGAGAATTTATAACCTTTTCATTTTGTTATAAACTATAACATTTCAATAAAAGTAAACGAGACTTAATGAATAATACATTGTTCATTTATTAAAAAATCTTTTACCAAAATATGTCACCAGTCTGTCATTGAATACATGCCCGTTAAATCAAATTATTGTGCGGAAAAAAAATTCAGAATAAAGGATTGATTGATAGAAGATATATGCTGCTAAAGTGTTAAATAAATAAAAGAACGATGTAGCTGAGGATTGGGCCATAAATTCGAAAATAATGAGGTTTAAAGCAATAGTATAGCTGCAAAGGGATGGTCAACTGTGCACTGCATAACTTAAGAAGAGCCGAATAAAATGCTACCTAGACGAATGTTTGTTAAAATCTACGCAGTTGTAAAAATTAAAGACACGAAAATTCCAAAACGTCTGTATAAGTAGAACTCGTTTAACACTGTGGCAGGACGTGTACGCTTTCAGTTGCTTACCATTTTTCATAACATTCATAGTGTCATATTTCTCAAATATATCATCGAACCGGAACATATCACTGTTCAATAATATATATTACATTACATTTTACTTACTTAACAATGACAGAAAGGTTAGAAAGGTAACTTACGTTTAAATTAACGGTAATCAAGTTGTGAATGAATTTGTGGATCAAATGAAATAACTGAATGAAATCGTGTTCATATCGTTTTGATTGGCATTCAAAAGGTTCATATCAGGTTTTCAAATAATGCGATCTCAAACACTCCCTTGTGCATGACTTTTATAATAAAAAATGAGAATGAAAGACTATAT